CACTCATCATACACCACTCATCATACACCACTCATCATACACCACTCATCATACACCACTCCTCATACACCACTCATCATACACCACTCATCATACACTACTCATCATACACCACTCATCATACACTACTCATCATACACTACTCCTCATACACCACTCATCATACACGACTGATCACACACCACCCATCATACACCACTCATCATACACCGCTCATACACCAGCTCAAGCTCGTGGCAGGTGCAGCACTTTGTGAACCTCCATGTGCAGATTTCGTGGCAGGTGCAGCACTTTGTGAACCTCCATGTGCAGATGTCGTGGTAGGTGCAGCACTTTGTGAACCTCCATGTGCAGATTTCGTGGCAGGCACAGCACTTTGTGCACCTCCATGTGCAGATTTCGTGGCAGGCGCAAGACAAAATGGGTTGTGGAGGGATAGCGAAGGCACGAAATGCTGTATTTTTCAATGGAACCGGTGGCTCCGAAGCTGGCAAGTCAAGGTCTGCGGAACGACGGTTGCGAGACGGTCTCGGGTCATGCTCGGATCATGCTCGGAATCGTCCGTCCATTGGGATTAGAGTTTTCACTTGTTTCTTGAAGCGCAGATTTCGTGGCAGGTGCAGCACTTTGTGAACCTCCATGCGCAGATTTCGTGGCAGGTGCAGCACTTCGTGTACCTCCATGTGCAGATTTCCTGGCAGGCGCAGCACTTTGGGAACCTCCATGTGCAGATTTCGTGGCAGGCGCAGCGCTTTGGGAACCTCCATGTGCAGATTTCGTGGCAGGCACAGCACTTTGTGCACCTCCATGTGCAGATGTCGTGGCAGGCGCAAGACAAAATGGGTTGTGGAGAGATAGCGAAGGCACGAAATGCTGTATTTTTCAATGGAACCGGTGGCTCCGAAGCTGGCAAGTCAAGGTCTGCGGAACGACGGTTGCGAGACGGTCTCGGGTCATGCTCGGATCATGCTCGGAATCGTCCGTCCATTGGGATTAGAGTTTTCACTTGTTTCTTGAAGTGCTGATTTCGTGGCAGGTGCAGCACTTTGTGAACCTCCATGCGCAGATTTCGTGGCAGGTGCAGCACTTTGTGTACCTCCATGCGCAGATTTCCTGACAGGCACAGCCCTTTGGGAACCTCCATGCGCAGATTTCGTGGCAGGTGCAGCACTTTGTGACCCTCCATGCGCAGATTTCGTGGCAGGCACAGCACTTTGCGCGCCTCCATGTGCAGATGTCGTGGTAGGTGCAGCACTTTGTGAACCTCCATGCGCAGATTTCGTGGCAGGCACAGCACTTTGTGAACCTCCATGTGCAGATGTCGTGGTAGGTGCAGCACTTTGTGAACCTCCATGTGCAGATTTCGTGGCAGGCACAACACTTTGTGAACCTCCATGTGCAGATGTCGTGGCAGGTGCAGCACTTGGTGAACCTCCATGTGCAGATTTCGTGGCAGGTGCAGCACTTTGTGAACCTCCATGTGC